ACATTGTGACCACAGTATGAGCACACAGTGAGTGCGCTGTGTGGTCACACTTTTAGCTCACTGTGACACACACATTGTGACCACACGATGAGAATCATGTGAGCTCATGGTGACATCATTGTGAGATCAAATTGTTGACTGGGAATAACAAGTAAATCATTTTCAGATTATGCTGAAAATTAATTTAAAATGCAGCACTCCTGTGCCTTCTGTGTATTTAGATTTTCAGAGCACTAATCCATGGATCAGACTTTCCCTTTCTACGGTCTTTTCCCTGTTAGCAAAATATTTAATCTCGGGATTACAAGTCTTACCTCTGTTTGCCACCATGACCTTTTTGATCGGTCGATACTCCAGGTTTTGGGGAGACAAGTGGGCAGAACGACAAAACAAACCCACTCTCCTGATGAGCAGAATGCCCATCTTCCCCCTGCAGCCTCCCAAATGCAGAAGCATCCTAGAGAAACACAAATAGAAAAGACAAAGATGAACAAATCGGTCTGGTTGTATTTATCCTTCAGAAAATTGTTTTGAAATAATGGATAGTGGTCTGTACACACTTTAGAATACACGAACCAAGGCTCCTGATGTCTTACCAACTTCACCAAAATAATATTGAATGAGCGTTATGTATTTCCAAAAACGGTTTCATTTTCCACTAGCGATATATCTATACTGTTGTTTTGAATCTGCTGTAGTGAGGGACTGCTGCCATCTTGTGGTCGTCAATTAAACGGTTTAATCTTCCAAAGCGTCTTTACCGTCTATGATTTTACCCAAAGACAGATAAATTACACAAGATCCCTTTGAAAACACAAAGATTCCCTTAATTAGTCTAATAAGGCTGTAATATATATATATATATATATATATATATATATATATATATATATATATATATATATATATATATATATAATATATATATATGTTCCATTTTGTCAGTTCAAATGTATTTCGAGTGTGTACTGTATGTGTTTTTCAGTGGGAAGCAAACTATGAATTACGCCCAGGTATGCTAACTCTCATTTCACTGTTTTACTCTATTTCTGTCTGTGTCTCACCTACACGATCTCAGATGGCAGACATAATATTGAAACCCTTTTTTTCACCCAGTTGTGTATTCAATGCACACACACTAACCTTTTGAACAGCATTGCATTGCATATTTACAAGTCAGATTTTTCTTGGTTTGGCTCAAAGTACTAATTACATATTTATGTTGATAATTTGCCATGTTCAATTTATATTTTGAAATAAAAATGCATAGAAACTCAATTACATTTTCTTTAAAAACTGGACTGCAAATGTGTCTGCCACAATCTTGTTATATAATTGCTAAAGTGTTCTAAGTGATTTTAAGGATGTTGTTATGCTGTTAGCTGCTTACTGTCTCAAGTTTAAAAGAGCCCACTCCAAAGTCTCTATGATATTCTTGTCCCTGATTTTGCTTTGGTCTCTCCTCAAATGTAACTCAATGTAACAATGAAAGGGATTTTAACACTCATTTTGTTCTTAACACATATAACCTACAACATGTTGCAGGCCAATGGTTTGGGGTTTTGTTCAAATCTGTAACTCTATATGAGTGAAATAAATATTAATTCAAGACTTAGAAAGCATCAGCAGATCAGAAGATACATTTTGAGAGGTGCAGTCCATAGGCAGTAATGACAGTAGGTGTTTGTAAGTAAATGGAGCGATTCCTTGGCTAGCTTTTTCTAGGTTAAATGTCATAGGTCATAAGGAGTAGTGGTTGGATGAAAGAGTCAGTGGGTTTGTAGCCCATAAACAGAGAAAAACTTTGAACTAGAGAGTTAGTGGGTGATTAGGTGTCCCTTCATCAAGACTCCTGTGTCAACATGAACTTTGATCGTGTGGGAAAATCCAATGAATGACCTAATTTTTTAACATCAGTAATGAAAACACCAAGTGGAGTAAAATATTTGTATTCACTGCATTGAGTAGAGCTTCCCTGTTTTGGAAAGGAAAAACATATAATGTGGAGAATGTGTAGATATATATATATATATATATATATAAAAAACATAATTTAATTTAGATGGCTATGGCACACCTTTGAACCCACCAATGGTTCCACAAGGGGGAATTACAGAGAAAATATAATGTTCAGCCTATTGGTGCCTTCCAAAATTGCTCAGTTAGCGTTAAATTACTCTGAAGATTGCCCTAAAAGGCCAAGCTGGGTAAAATCAACATACTCAGCCACCTCCGTACACAATCTAAATAGAGCCATACATCAGCAGAGCTTTTTGGGGGCCTTTTGTTGCTCTCTTTTCAGTCTATTCCCTCACCTCTCCTTCCACCTGACTAACACTTCCTGTGGCGTTTGTCCATTAGAGCTCTGGTAAATAGATGTTCTGTGTCTTTACATTCTGAGCAGTGCAAATGTTCTGCCATTAGAGCAGATGAGACCTGCTCAAGCAATACAACACAAATTCACAGCTATGAATTTACAGTCTGAGGTAATGTCACCCTCAGAAGCCAATATGTATGTGTGTGTATATATATATGTGTGTGTGTGTGTGTGTGTAAATAACATCGAACAATAATAATAAAAATAATAATAATAATGCCCACAATATATATTGCAATATACACAACAATACAATTGGTTATATTTTGTCCCTTTAAATGAGGTAAATTCACAAAGTTTAGTTTACTTTGTTTTGTTTTGTTGTTTTGGCTTGGTTTACAACTTTGTTTATCAAACACACAATGTGGAGAACGTGTAGCCTTTAACCCCCCTCACTGAACCAATTCAGGCACTGTGACTGAGTCTTTGTGGATGTTTAATACGTGAGCACTGTTATCTCCCTGTCAAGAACAAATCCTCCTTTGATGAGGGTTACGTGGAGAGACGTGTTTCAAGTTGGGGGTCTTCTTCTTTGTTTGTTTCTCTGTGGTGTTTTGTAACCATTTAAATATCAAACAACACCAGACTGAACTCTGTACAGGGTATTTTATCCTCTCTGGAGTTGAATGATGAATAAGTTAATGATAACAAGATACAACTGATTTGCCAAGTTGCTCAAATACCATTCCATGTCAAGAAGATGAAATCAGATATACTGTCACACAAGTGGCATTTTGTTTTGATCGTTCAGGTAGTACAACTCTACTCTATTGTTCTTTTGCAAACATGTGTCTTCAAATAAATGTGCTGCTGATATGTCCTTAAACCTGCAAGAACAACTGAAAGAGTTTATGTTGCAAAGTCCTGCACCAAAAAACTAACCAAAGGTCACGCAGTCCATGTTCAAAAAATACAGTGTTAAGATCCAAGTTAACACACAGTTTATGTATTCCACTGTCCTGTATTCCTTCCTGAAACAATCGTGCATGTGCATACTTACATTTTCACTTTCACTCACACACAGACAAAAACGAAATAAATGTTGGACCTATATTAAAATAGTGTCTGTTCAGCTGATGAGACCAATACTTAGTTGTATGTTGTGGCCAATAAACAATAAATGGATGATATTAAAATTCCATTAAATTTTGTATAATAAATTAAAATACTAATAACTAAAATTAGTCATTTTAAATGTTACAAAGGAAATTTAGGCATCACAAAATTACTGTATAATGTGCAGCATAAAAGTGGATTTTCATGTAGAAATGTGATTTAAATATTACATGTAAGTCTCATTAAATTATTAGTGTATTTTAAGATTAACTAAAAATGATCATTATATGAGGGTAAAGGTAATATAAATATAAAAATAGAGAAAACACAAGCAAATAAATATCCAAAATTGACAATCATATATCCAGTATCAACCAATATTGGCCAATATCTGATATAGTACCAATACATATATTGAGCAACCCTGACACAACTGGCATTTGGATGGTTGTAATTATGACCAAATCCTCATGAATGAAAATTCACTGAAAACACATTAATCTGACACAGAATACATTTATGTTTAAGAAATGTTCAAGAAATGTTCTGAACACACACATACTCACACACACACTCACTCACTCATTCACTCACTCACTCACTCACTCACATCATGATACTGACATAGTAGTAGTTGAACCACCACGTGCACATGATCTCTGAATACACACACTTCAAAGCAAAGTGTAACATGTAAAGTATCTAATACATTTCCAGTCATTTATCACACCAGACCACACACAGCTGTACTCACTTGTCCAGTCAAGCCCAGATTCAGTCCAAAGTCAGAGCAGGTGTCAGATGTAAACAAATTAATGGGCCAGAAAGTTCTGCCGCAGTCCTGTGATACAATGAGCAGATCCAGAGAACGGAGAGTTGTGACATGCACGCAGGCGTATACACTATCATGTACACAGTCAGAACTGCTCTTCTGTCACACTGGCTGTGAGACTGGAAGGACTGGATCCTGATAATCTCTTTCAGTCTCTCTCACTCACTCACTCTCACTTCTGACCTCTCTCTCTCTCTCACTAGATGCAGGTTTTCATCCTCTGATGATTACGTAACACTTATACACCCCCGTGCATATGGGCCAACCACAGGCGCTATGTTTCCACTAGCAAAGAGCAGCAGGATTTAAAGACTGAGATGGGAGGGAGGGAGGGAGGGATGGATGGATGGATGGGGAGGAGGGGGAAGAGAAAAAATTATAAACAAAGTATTGCTGAATGTTGTGCATTATATGAAGGAAATGTAACTAAACACAAGAAAAAGTTGATTTTGAGTTCCCCTAATTATAAGTATTGCTGAATGTTGTGCATTGTATGAAGGAAATGTAACCAAACACAATACAAATGTGCTAATAATAATATCTTATAATCAGGGGAACACAAAATAAGATTTCCCAGGTCCTGTGATGCGGTGCGACCCATGGATCCAAACAACACTCCAGATTTTAACCCCTTCTCAAGCACCCTCCATTTTGACAAGGGGACATACAGTAAATGACATATTGTAATGCATTGCATTATATCTCTTTGTAAATAATTGCAGCCACTGCATCCCAAATTGCATACTCTCTAAGTAGGTATTTCTTTTAAGTATGGAATTACTTTGTGAAAAAAAGTATGTGCAATATAAGCTGTGTCTTTCAAAAGCTGAATTTGAAAACCGTTCTTCATTTCCCAGGCCATGAAAGATCCAACTGATGGATCTTTTGCAGCCTGGACTATCCCAAGATTCACTGCATGCTGGTGACAATATGACTTATTGGGAGAAAATGGCAGATTACACTTTTAAATTTAAGTAAATAAAATAGCTTTTTGGCTGAACATGATTCAGTCATGGACAGTGGTACCACATGAAGTTATCTGGATATGTCTAATTTTAGATTAGTTTACTCAGTTCCCTTTCATTCGGTCACTCACGATGTCACGTCGGATGACCGACGAATTGGGATCTCGCTTAGAGAGACCAATCTACTTCGAGGGTAAACTAAACGAGCCGATGCACATTGGCATGGGATTATTGCATCCAGCTTCCGCTGATCACAGCGTGAGTATAAGTAGGCAGCAGATGCAGCGCATATTCAGCTTTTCGCTTCGGAGCCGAGTGATCACATCATTCTGCTCCTGACTACTCTACTGAGAGAAGAAGACTGAACGAGTTCACCGCACTCTTTGAGAGCTCTTCGTGTTGGCGGTACAGCGCTTCAGCGGTGGTGTTTCCCGTGTCGAGTGGGTTGCACACATCAGGCTGCACTACCCCCTGTTTGTGTTGCAGGCGGCCATCTCCCCTGTGCGCCTCAGTACGCTAAAATTGCTTTTTCCCTAAAAGAGCAATTACGGGTGCGTCTTTTTAAAGACGATGTTGCGTGGCAGACTTGACGTTACGTCGTTGTAAAGACGATGTGGGTCTTGCTATAGACAACGTATCACCCAGGCGTTTCTGGATGCGGTCGTTACCTGGCGCTGGGTGATGGTCATGACCGCTGCTTCACGTGCCTGGGCATCTAGCACGCTGAGGTGGCGTTTGTGGATGAGTCATGTTGTCATCTTCAGGCAGTAGCACGGGCGGTCTGAGGGTAACAGTGGTGGCAAACCCTCCAGGGAACCAACCCTCGGGGGACCATCGCTCCTCTTGCACTCCGCAACCAGTTGAGCTGCCAATGGAACATGATGGGCGCTCTACAAGGAGCGTACCAGCCGTATCGTTTGGCGCTCCTCCCAATGACCAGATGTCGATCGCTGCATCATTGGGTGAGCCAGAGTTTTCTGGAGACGAAAGTTTGGCTGCGCTGCTGTCCTCCGGGACTGTAGCAATGCCTGAATCGGATCCGGAAATAACGGCTATGCTTTCCCGGGCCACTGTGGGGGTAGGGCTCGAGTGGAGACTTCCACCGTGTCCCGAGTCCTCAAGGTTGCACGGCTGGTTCTTGGGGTGGTCCGCGCTGGTTCTCAGTGCCCCACCTCGGTGCCTTTCTTCCCGGAGGTGCATGAGGAGCTCACCAGGTCGTGGATGGCACCTTTTACTGCCGGAAACCGATCTGCTGGTTCCTCCTCCTGGAGTTACAAGGGTGCCCCTGGTGGAGCGGTCAGTTGCAAAGCAGTTGTGTCCTAATACCGCCTCCACCCGGCAGGGAGAACCGTGCCTCCCCTCCCAAGTCTGTAGGTACTCGACTGGCCAGCGAAGGATGCGATAGAGCCGGTCCCTCCAGCTGATATGAAGACGGGACTTTACAGCCCCTACTTCATTGTACCTGAGAAAGGCGGTGGGTTACGACCACTCTTGGACCTGCGTGTCTTGAACCATGTCCTTCACCTGTTACTGTTCAAAATGTTTACGCAGGAACGCATCTTCGGGTGCATCCGTCCCCGAGATTGGTTTGCAGCAATCGACCTGACGGACGAGTACTTCATGTGTCGACCCTTCCGCACCACAGACCATTGCTGCGGTTCGCGTCCGAAGGACGAGCATATCAGTACGAGGTCCTGCCCTCCGGGCTGTCCCTGTCGCCCCGGGTCTTCACGTAAGTTGCGGAGACATCCCTTGTTCCCCTGAGAGAACAGGGCATTCGCATTCTCAACTACCTCGACGACTGGCTCATATTAGCTCAGTCTCAGTTGTGCGAACACAGGGATTGGTGCTCTCGCACCTCAGCCAATTGGGCCTGCTGGTCAACTGGGAAAAGAGCCTCGAGTTGCTGGCAGTGCACCTTGCCTTAATCTGTCTCAAAGAGCACTTAAGAGGCAAGCATGTACTAGTCCGCACGGACAACACTCCAACTGTTGCGGGAGAATGGCGACTCCATCCCCAGACGGTCCAGCTGATTTGGAGACATTTTGGAGCCACACAGGTAGACCTGTTTGCCTCTCCAGAAACCTCTCACTGCCAGTTGTTCTACTCCCTGACCGAGGGAACACTCGGCTCGGATGCACTGGCACACAGCTGGCTGCGGGGTCTTCGTAAGTATGCATTTCCCCCAGTGAGCCTTCTAGCACAGACACTGTGCAAGGTCAGGGAGGACGAGGAGCAGGTCCTGTAAGTGGCACCCTATTGGCCCACCCGGACCTGGGTCCCGAAACTAATGCTCCTTGTTACAGCCCCTCCTTGGCCGATTCCTCTGAGGAAGGATCTACTGACTTTGGCACCCACTTCCAGACCTCTGGAAACTTCATGTCTGGTCCCAGGACGGGACACAGAGGTTCTAGGTGACCTTCCCCAAGAGGTAGTTGACACCATCACTTCAGCGAGAGCACCGTCTACGAAACACGCTTACACTTTGAAGTGGAAGCTGTTCGTTGAGTGGTGTTCTTCTCACCGAGAAGACCCCCGAAGATGCCCGATCAGAGTCGTGCTGTCCTTTTTGCAGCAAGGGTTGGAGCGAGGGCTGTCTCCCTCCACCCTCAATATCGCTGCAATCGTTGAAGGGAAGCTGCTGGGGAAGCAGCTAGAGATTAGGCTAAATCCTCCATGGCCCCCCTCTATACCATCTTGGGACCTGCCTCTAGTGCTCACAGCACTACAGCAGGGCCCATTTGAGCCTTTGCAGACAGTCGAGCTGAAGTCTCTGTCAATGAAATCTCTGCTCCTGCTTGCACTGGCCTCCATCAAGAGGGTAGGGGACCTGCACGCGTTTCGGTTGATGATTCGTGCCTAGAGTTCGGGCCGGCCGACTCCCAGGTAACCCTGAGGCCCCGGCCGGGCTATGTGCCCAAGGTTCCCACTACTCCCTTCAGGGATCAGGTGGTGAGCCTGCAAGCGCTGCCCCCGGAGGAAGCAGACCCAGCCCTAGCTTTGCTCTGTCCCGTCCGAGCCCTAAGGTGCTACGTAGAACGGACACAAAGCTTCAGGACCTCAGACCAGCTCTTTGTCTGTCACAGAGGCCGGCAGAAGGGAATGCCGTCTCTAAGCAGGGGATAACCCACTGGATAGTGGATGCAATCACCCTGGCTTATCAGGCACAGGGTGTGCGCTGCCCGTTCAGGTTGCGTGCTCACTCAACTAGAAATGTTGCATTCTCCTGGGCGCTGGCTCGTGGCGCCTCGCTGGCAGATATCTGTAGAGCTGGGCGACCCCTAACACGTTTCTATAGCCTTCGTGCGGAGCCGGTATCCTCCTATGTTCTCACCTCAAACGGGTAGAAGCACTGAGTGGCCCCGGCTTCGGGTCGGCTTGCTAAATCCGCTCCAGAGAGTCCATATAGTAGACCTGTTGAGCTCCTCCATCCTCTCGGCAGCCAGACGTGGTGGAGTGTCCGGCACCAGGCCCTCTCTCGATGAATCTGTGAGATCCGGTAGAGGGCTGGGTTCCATATGTAGAGACCTAAGTGGATCCCATATGTGTAAAATCCACGGTATGGCCTCAGAACCCGTGTTTCCCCGGCAGACTTCTGCCATTCCAAGAGGGTTACAATCACCTCCAATCTTCCATATGCACCTAAGGAATGTTCATATGTGTATTGCTTCCGAAACCTCCTTCGGGACCCTGATAGGGGCAGTACCTGTGGCCCTTTGTTAGGGATACCAATTTGTCGGTCATCCGACTGAAAGGGAACGTATTGGTTACGTATGGTAACCCTCGTTCCCTGAAGGAGGGAACGGAGACATCACTTCCCGTCACCACAGCTCCTGTACCACCGCTGAGTGGCCTAGTCACCTGCTCGGCTCCGCAGCGAAAACCTGAATATGTGCTGCATCTGCTGCCTACTTATACTCACGCTGTGATCAGCGGCAGCTGGATGCAATAATCACATGCCGATGTGCATTGGCTCGTTTAGTTTACACTCGAAGTAGATTGGTCTCTCTAAGCAAGATCCCAATTCGTCGGTCATCCAACGTGACATCTCCGTTCCCTCCTTCAGTGAACGAGGGTTACCATACGTAACCGAGATGTTCACTTTCATCCTACATTAAGTATAGAGTAGATATAACATGTATGGAAACATGCTTTACACTTCACCACAATGGTAACTCACCCAAAAACACCCAACATAAAAGAAAGTATTTTAAAATGCCAACATAATAGAACATTAAATGTTAACAAGTCTCCCTATTTTCTTATGTTACTAAAAAAAAAAA